AAAGCCACCATCTTATTGATTGCCAAAGCCACCACCTTGTTGATTGCCATAGTCACGATCCATTTGTTGCTCAAGATCATCTGTGAATCAGGACAAGTATGCTTGGGTTTCAGCTTCATCAGCCAGATCATCGTCGCTGTCATCGACAACCACTATTTCACCATGATGAATCCACACTGTGTAGTCCGGAACAAATCCTCTCATAATCAGATGTTCTTTGATGGTACTCACATCTCGAAATGCAATAAGGTTCTTGCAATATTTGCGGTGACAAATAATCGTGTCACTATTCTCTTTCAACGTCGCTGCATGCTTCTCTGCGGCTTTGATGAATTTGTCCATCTCATCACGAAAAAGAGCGTCATGTCTTAACGAACCATACATCCAAGAGTTCCTGTAGTCCATCTTATAGAAACAAAACAACCAAAGAAAAAATATTACTCAAGAATAATTGTATATACCTGAGACACGCACCATGGTAGTAGAGGATAGTTAATTAATTGACTATTAATGCATAAATATTTTAAAATATAAATTAATTGGTTCAAATAAACAATTTCAAAGAAAACAATTAGCAACATTTAATATTTCATCCACTACCTTTCATGCAAACTCCATTCCAATTTCATGGTAGAGGATAATTAATTAATGACCTATTTATCCATAACTAATTAAAAACACACATTATAGAAATGAATCAAAATAAATATTAAATGATAATTAGTAGCCATGGTAGAGGATATTTTACACATTAGCAACAATTAAAATCTTACACATTCACCTACATGCAAACCCTAGTCACATAAAGAAAAAATTGAAAAAAAACAAAATCTTAGATCTAGATCTAGATATAGGGTTTCATGACATATGCACCAAACTTCACTAATACTACACTAAAATCAACAAAGATGTACCAACAAAGGGTGCAATCTTACTTCCCTACCTAATTTACCCTAGTATAGTGAAAATTATGGTCCAATTTCACTCATAACTAGCTCAAGCTCCATGGAAAAGAGAGAAAACCAAAAATCAAATTACTCACTAACCAACGAATTAAACTTCAAATAAAGAGTTGGAGAAGTATTTTCTTACCTTTTAGAGCCTCTCTACCAAAGGATTTAAGATTTAAACCTCCTCCCTTAGTAGAGCAATTTTTAGGAGGAGCCTAAGGCCTCCCAACTTTTTTTGTGTAGAAGAGTGTGTCCCGAAGTAGAAGAAGGGGTGGCTACTATTTATTCGTGCGTCATCAGTAAGGGCGACTGGTGATTCAGCCGCCCCTACAGTCGAACAACAGGGACGGCTTAGGCACTGCAGGGACGGCTGGTGATTGAGCCATCCCTACAGATCAGCCCTAACTATAGAGACAATTTAGATTACCAACCGTCCCTACAGTACTATCTATAGAGACGGCTGGCCTGATGGAGCCTGAAGACTGAGCACCGGGTGGGTTCTCATGAAGTGAACCCCAGATCCCCAGTTGCTGTTGCATGCTCCATCGTACCGCATCGCATGCATGCATGTTGGTGTTGCTCCCTGGCTGGATCCATGTTCATCCCAATAATAACTGCTCGACCTTTTCCAGCCACAAACAAGCAGGTACGGTAGGTGAGTGAGCACATATCTGCATCTGCATCTGCATCTGCATCTGCATCTGCGACCCTTCTTGATTTCGGAGGTGAGTTAGGCCATGTTTAGTTCACCTAAAATTAAAATTTGGCACTATGTAAAAAGAAGATTCTTCGTCACATTAAACTTGCGATACATATATGGAACACTAAATATTGACGAAATCAAAAACTAATTGTACAGTTTGGTTGTACTTTTACGAGACGAATGTTTTGAACCTAATTAGTCAACGATTGGATAATTATTACTAAATACAAACGAAATAACACAGTGCTGCACATCTCAAGTGATCGATCAGCATGCATCAATGCATGCATGGTCCAGAGTCCAGACACGTACGGCTGGATGCATGAAGGAGAAGGTTGCAGCTGGAGTGCTGGACCTCGCCTGGACTGGACGACTCGCCAGTCTGGAAAACACTGCTAGTAGCTTGCGAACGCACGAACGAGCCGGCTACTCCAATAAGCCGGCGGCTTATATATCAGCAGAACAGAGCCCTACGACTATGACTACGACCGTCCTCAAACACACTACACTAGTTGGTTGGTGAGCAGAGCAGGTCCAGCCTCTGGATCGATCACCAACTCCATGCATCATGGAAGTCCTGCCACGGCCCACGGCGTCACATGCTGCTCGTTCTCCTGGTGTAGTGGCTGATAAACTGCATGCATGCAGACGATCGCTTTGTTTGTTTGCTTGCTCGTTATCAACACACGAATAATCCATCTGATCTCAACAACTTGTTTACATGAAACATGCCGATTCTGTGGGAAAACTGAGAGCCCTGTCAGCTTGAGCACTGGACTGCACTTACAGCAACTCATCAAAAGTGATGGTAACAAAAAGGTCCAGCATGAATGCACGATCCATTATTCCAGTGGTACGTCAACCGTCAATGAAAAACATGCTGATGCCTCATTGACTTACTCAGCTCGTCTTTGACTTTTTTTTCCTCTCCCCTGCGCCCATGTAGTAGCTGTCAAGACCGTGTATCGTGCTGGTCAGCAAATCAAATCCCCCTGGACTGGAGATGGACCGAGAGGACATGGCAAGATTTTGTACAAATCTAGTGCGGTACTACTTCGATCATATTTCATCAGCCCAGCCAGGACGGCGTACGTCCTGCCTTCGATCGCCCTGTTGGCTAGACTTAGTTTGGCTAATAAGTCATGGCTGAAAGTACTGTTGATTGATTTGGCGTGAGAGAAAAATATTATCCATTGGCTAAAAAAGTATGGCTTATAAACCAAACAAACCTAAATGAACAAGGACGAACCTGTCGATGAAATCAATCACTCACCACATGCATACCTACAGCCAGCAGGCAAGACCTGACTAGTTTACTGTTCCTATGCCAGTACAGATGTTCGTTAAGTACACGCCTGATCACAGATTAGGAACATAATAATATTGTAAAATATTGCTCGGTTGTAGTACTACTACTGTATTTACCAAGTCGTAACGGGCAGCTCAGATACTAGTAGTATTTTGCCAAGTGGTGTTTAGTCAACGCCCAAGTTGCCGTTCGGCGTGACCCATGCATGATCTGCCAAACCAAGCAGAAACAGGTTTCGAATTCAGAAGGAAGACACATGTCCTGACTCCTGAGCATGAACGTTAGCCTCAGCTCTCAGCCTCTCAACCCTTTTTTTTCCTCCTCCTTTCACCAAACTGTCAACCATTTTAAATCTGGTGATTTGCCGGGGGAAGCACAGCTGCAGTTTGTAGTACTAGGCCATTATTCCAACTTTCCAAGTAGCTGATGTGACATGTAACGAACTGCCATTATAGCTGGATCTGGATCTTAAATATAAGCTTATTAATTAATCGGCATGCATGCCCACATTTCCACAAGACAAAAGGGGACGCATCCCTGGTTCTAGAATAGCTTCGTGCTAAAGGGAACGCGTCTGAACGTAACTTTGTCAGATCTATGTTCATGCCTTCATGGCATCCAGCAATTAAAAAATATATACTTTAAGGAATGAAGCACTAGCTAGATTAGAGGCATGAATCATATGGAAAGTTGGAATCAAGTAGAGTAGTGTGTTTCAGGTGAGGAGAAAGATGGAACATGCAATGCAATGGTGAAAACTTGTCTTGCTCAGCGCGTGTTCAGTTCCAAAAATATTTTCAAAAAATGCTACAGTACTTGTTATATCGAATCTTGCGATACGTGCATGGAGTAAGTAAATGTAGATGAAAAAAAAACTAATTGCACAGTTTAGTTGTAAATCGCGAGACGAACGTTTTGAGCCTAATTAATCCATGATTGAATATTATTTACTAAATAAAAACGAAAAAGTGCTACAGTACTCAAATTCCAACTTTTCCTCCAACTAAACACAAGCCTCAGTCAAACAACAGCTCATGATTGGTTGACTGAACTGGTATAAACCTTTGTCCACAGTCCACCATTAGCAAAAGCATCAATCAGCATCTCTTTCTTGCTGGTGGCCTCTGCAGGCTCTGCTCGGACTTCATCCCACTTTCACCTACTCCCATTGCCCCCCATTAATTTACCGGATCAAAAGCACCTTCCAATACCTATTAATTTCTATAAACACTGTGGTCCGTTTGCTTCGCTGAAAAAAATGAGATAAAATATTGTTCCGACTGATTTGTTGTGAGAGAAAAATATTATTCCAGTTAAAAAAAACAAACTGAAAAGTACGAATTATAAGACAGACGAACATGAAATATATATATATATATATATCCCAATCAATAATTTTTATAGAATAGTTTTTTATCAATCATATACATTCTCTCTCCATTCTCTAACAATCACATCTCTTCATATCTTAATTCTCGTGTAGATATGGTTTCTAACTTAGACCCGATTTCTATAAATTTTGCTTTATCTTTTCATTAACTACCTTACTATATCAATAAAACACTAAATTAGCAATATAATTAATGTCCATAAAATTACCATATTCACTTAATCATAATACTTATCAATCGTGATATAATATTTTTCTCTTATAATAAACCAGGGTCAGCCAGCTTATAAGCTACGTCAACAATCAAGCGAACAGGCCAGAGAGAGAGAGACGAGAGAGCTCGAGTCAAGAACAGCAAGCAGCCCAGAAGCCAACAGACATTTAAGAGTGGGGAGCTAAAAAAATTGCAGTCTTTACCGGCACCATCCCTACCACGCCGCTTCCGAAGCAGCCGTGGCATCCGCCGTTTCTTGCGTGCTTCCTTTCTTGGTTCTTACTAGCTGTCATCCTTGGTAGTGAACCAGCGGAGAAGAGAGAGACACCATGGCCGTGTCGTCCTGGTAGGGGATAAGCAACCGAGGAAAGCAGCCATCTTCACCGCGGAGGGAGAAAGGTCAAGAGGGAGAGTGTGTGGGGACCAGGCCAAGCATGGAGGCGCTGGCCGCCGCATTCGCCACCGGCCTTCTCCTTGCCCTCGCGGCGGCGCCAGCGGGGGCCGAAACCGACTCCGCCGACGGTAAGAGCCCTGGGTGGGCGGCGCTCCGGGTTCCGGCTGGGGTTCTTGGTTTTCTGGGGGTGGCGTGGTGGGTTTTCCTTTCTTCTTGTTTTTGCGTGCGATTAATAATGGTTCGGTTCCTTGTTGCAGCCGCGGCGCTGGGGAATCTCTACACCTCCTGGAACAGCCCGTCGCAGCTGGCTGGGTGGTCGGCCAGCGGCGGCGACCCCTGCGGCGCGGCGTGGCAGGGCGTCACCTGCTCCGGCGCCGGTGTCACCGAAATGTAAGATCCCGTGAACGCCCACATCCAAGGAACCTTGTTGATAGGTATCTTGCATCACCGTGTCGTAGATTGATTGCCTTTTCAGTTCCATGATTCCCCTTACCATTAGGTGGGTTCAGCGATGGAAATGACCATGGCTTTTTTGGCTGGTTTCCGGTGTTTGATCCTTGTTGTACTTTAAGTTTGTGGCTTGTGGGAGCTGGTAAGAATGGGAGCACCTGATGTAATGATGTTGTCTGTGCTAGTCTCAAGTTTAGACGGTACCACAAGGCCATCGAACTATTAGCATTATGTTTTATTTGTTCATCTATGCATTCATGCTAGTAATGAGTAATGACAATTTAGGATTAGTAAGCTGTGATACAATCCAAATTGATGTTTCTCAAGACCTTTGATATTTCACTTGCTTCTTTCTTCGAAATTTTGTTCGTTGGTGTCTGAACTCCTTTATCTACTTGTGTGGTTATGGAGATTCCTAGTCATGAAACGACGTAATGCTCATCAATTCTGCATTTCTTCTGTGTTCTGTCACAATATGCAGCAAACTTCCAGGGATAGGGCTAGATGGTTCTCTGGGATACGATCTCTCCAACCTGTTCTCTTTGAAAACGCTGTGAGAGCTGCAACTTCTCTGTAGTCTTTTTTTTCCCTATATTATTATAACCACCGTTTTGATCCACAATTTCATAACATGCAGAGATTTGAGTAATAACAACTTGCATGGTTCAATCCCTTACCAGCTGCCACCTAATCTCACTAATCTGTATGTGTCTTGTTCCCCTCCTAGTATATTTGTTCTGTAGTATCTGGTGTTTGACTGTGATTGGTGATGCAGGAATCTGGGTAGCAACAATTTCAATGGCAACCTTCCATACTCTATATCAAATATGGCTTCGATTCAATACCTGTAAGCTGCTAACCAGTGCAACCTTACCTTGTTATGTTTTTGTTTGCACAATATACTGTTAGATCATGCTGGAAAAGTATAATTCGCTGAAACTTTTGATGCAGCAATCTCAGCCACAACTCACTTTCTCAGCAACTGGGTGATCTATTTGGAAGCCTCAATTCACTTTCAGAGTTGTAAGATTTTCTGATCCTTTCTTTATTACAAGACTTAACTTTACCTCATTAATTTCTTACACCGCCCCTCTTTCATCCCAATGCCCAATGAGCAGATGAATTGTGTTCTGTAAAATGGAGCATTAGGAATGACATAGTTGCCTTTTCTTGAAATCCCAAGACATCGACTAAGAATGAATGTGCTTCCCCTCTGGAAACACAGAATGGCAAAAGAACCGAGTGTATCATTAATGAATCCACAGTGGTTGCATACTTGCATCAGACAATTGTTCACACACATGACACGTATGCCTGGATTCCTTATACAACCAAACTGATTCATCCCTCCTCCAGCGAATGAGTTGGCTAACGGACTAAGAACATAAAAGAAATCGGTTGCAGGGGCTAGACCCATGATGTGCACTGCTGCAGCTCTGCCAGCCAGTGAATGGATCCATTTCTTTACTCGCTATGAATCGATCCATATGTTTGCATTGACTCTTCTCTCTCCTCCACGGTTTAATGTCCTCTAGTGATTGAATCGACTCATTGCCTTGCCACGCAGGATGATATATCGCTTTAAACTCCATAAAATGCAAGTTTGCTTCACAGTCCATATGGAGAACTAAGATGTAGAAGTTGATCAGTATATGAAAACATGACCGATTTACATGGCTGTTAGAACTGGAGTTTCAGATAGTTTCATGTTTCTTGTACCGTACAAAACCGACATCCTTATATCAGATGGCTCGTATACTTTTTTTCATAACTTGAATTTTTGGAGGATCTGAATTACTCCGTGAAGTATAAAGATAGTCTCCCAATAAAGACTTAAGACTAGGAGTAAATGCAATTGTTCCTTGAAAAAATTAACATTTATAATGGTTATAAGAAGTGACATTTTACTTGACACAGCAAAACAACTTGACATTTTAATTGTGCACTTGGTTTCTTGAATCTATCTTACACAATTTGACCACGCAGGATGTTATTATCTCTTTACACTCCTCACTGGAGATTACCTTAGGCAATCTTGCCATTGTCACACTTTTGAGATACCTTTTGCAACATTACCTTTCACTTGCTTTCATATAAACCATCTGGTGCGCTTTTTTATTCTTCGGATCTTTGTGTAAAACTCCATAGAATGCCAGTTTGCTTCATAGTCCATAGGGAGAACTAAGATGTAGAAGTTGACCAGGAGATGAAAACATGACCGATTTACATGGCTGTTAGAATTGGAGTTTCAGATAATTTCATGTTCTTGTACCGTACAAAATCAACATCCCTATATCAGATGGATCATATACTTTTTTTCATAACCTGAATTTTCGGAGGATCTGAATTAGTCCGTAAAAGTGTAAAGACAGTCTTCCGGTAAAGACTTTAGGCTAGGAGTACATGCAGTTGTTCCTTGGAAAATTTAGCATTTATAATGGTCATAAGAAGTAACATTTTACTTGACACAACAAAACATACTGTCCATTTGGTTTCATGAATCTATCTTATACAACTTGTACTCCTTGACAGAGATGTATCTTTCAACAAATTGACAGGGGATCTTCCCAATTCTATTGGTTCTTTATCAAATCTTTCAAGTCTGTAAGTATTAAACAATCTCTTCAAAGAAAGCTTCTACTTTGCATTAGTTTTTCAACGAGGATGGATTCATGTTTACCCGCTTTGCAGTTATATGCAAAACAATCAATTAACGGGTTCTGTCAATGTTCTCCGTGGGCTAAGCCTTACTACATTGTAAGTAAACTGTCAGACAATAGTTCAACTTCTATTCATGTTTGCTTGATAACTAATAACTTTTTTAAACAGAAACATAGCAAACAACAATTTCAGTGGTTGGATACCAAAAGAATTCAGCTCCATTCCAGATCTAACGTATGTTCCAAGTCTTACTTCACTTCTATGGAAATTGTCATTGCTGGGTTCTAATTACATGCTGTAAATGCAATCACAGACTTGAAGGGAACTCATTTGCCAATGGACCTGCTCCCCCACCGCCACCTTTTATGCCACCGCCCCCTCAAAGGCCACAGAATCGTCCTAAGCGTCCTCAGGGGCCAGGAGATGCTCCTAAAGGTTCAGAAACCCCCACTATTCAAAGTAACAAGAAGCAAGGCCTTGGGACAGGCCCGCTTGTGGGCATAATTGCTGGATCGATAGTTGCTGTTTTATGTGTGTTTCTGCTTTTGGCATGCTGCATGTGCAATGCTCGGAAAAGAACTGATGATGCCAGCAGTGAATCAAAAGATTTTGTAGGTCCTCTGACAGTAAACATTGAGAGAGGTATGGCATGTTTTATGATGTATAATGTCGTGTTGCAGTACACTTCTTGGTTGATGCTAGATAAATATAGATTATTCAGTTAGCTAAGATGCTTTTTTTTGTTAAAGAGGTAACCTTTGACTGTACCACTGCTTGATTGATCTGGAAACCACTAATTGAAGACATTGGTGATGATTAAACATTTATTGTACTTGAATTATGACCAGAGCTTGAACCATTGGAATTTGCTCCCTTTGCATGCACTCCTCATTCTCAAGATCAGTATAATTGTGTAATATAGTTTTGTAGTTAGGACAGAGATAATACAATGGCATAAAACTCGAAAACATGGGATTTTTTATGAATATATCTAATGGCCTCATTTAGCTATGATGATATCAGGTTTCTTGTTCAGAAGATTACAACCAGAAGAGAGCACAATTACATAACTCTGATATTCTGGTCCCTTGATAGTTGATATTCTCACTATTCTCTTCGTTTTTGTTTTCTAGCTTCTAGCAGGGAAATCCCAGAGCAGATTGAAGATACCTCTATAGCAACTGCAAAACTACCACCTCCTGAGAAAATGACTCCTGAGAGAGTTTACGGTAAAAATGGTTCTATGAGAAAGACAAAGGTCCCCATAACCGCAACACCTTATACTGTTGCTTCTCTCCAAGTTGCTACTAATAGTTTCTGTCAAGATTCTCTTTTGGGTGAGGGTTCACTTGGTCGTGTTTATAAGGCTGATTTCCCAAATGGAAAGGTACAGTGTCCTTCTACTAAAATCAAAATCTATATATTTGGTGTATTTTATCGCAACCCTTCTTGCTAATACTCGACTGCAAACCATTCTAATGCATTATAAATCTGTGTAGTGTCATTTATCAATAGATTAGTCTTGTTACATTCTTTATAAATGATATAGCTATGAAGCCAAGTCCTCGTGCTTTTGTTGTTTATTTAGGTAGTGGTTTATGAATATACATGGTTTTTCAGACCCTCTGCACGACAGTTGTTTGTTAGTCATCCTGTGTTCTGCACCTCAGCTGTGTGTTACTGTGTTATGATTACAGGTTCTCGCTGTTAAAAAGATAGATAGCGCCGCACTTTCTTTACAGGAAGAAGACAATTTCCTTGAGGCTGTATCGAGCATGTCACGGCTAAGGCATCCAAACATCGTGCCATTGACAGGATATTGTGCTGAACATGGGCAAAGGCTTCTTGTCTATGAGTACATTGGAAATGGAACACTGCATGATATGTTGCACTTCTCTGATGAAATGAGCAGGAAGCTTACATGGAACATCCGCGTAAGGATAGCACTAGGCACTGCTCGAGCACTTGAGTAAGTTTGAACCGTACTGCACTTTGTACTCCAAGGTTATGGCAGAGGATGCATATGATGTCTTCAAATTTTCTTGTAGGTACCTGCATGAGGTGTGCTTGCCATCTGTTGTTCATAGAAATTTTAAGTCTTCAAATATTCTACTAGATGAGGAGCATAATCCACACCTATCTGACTGTGGACTTGCTGCCTTGACTCCAAATACTGAAAGACAGGCAAGTAACACACATCTCTTCTACTGAAGTTGTTCAAATACCCATTTTTAGAATCTGTAGTTTCTACTTGGTCCATGGATTAACTAATTGGCCTGTCACTGCAGGTTTCAACTGAAGTATTTGGATCATTTGGCTATAGCGCCCCAGAGTTTGCCATGTCTGGCATTTATACTGTAAAGAGCGATGTGTACAGTTTTGGAGTGGTAATGTTAGAGCTATTGACAGGGTGGAAGCCACTAGACAGGTATGTGATCTAGCTTGTATCCAATCCTGGTTCATTGCATCTTGTAAGAAGTTGAAATAGCCTTCGGATGGTTATTGCAGTTCCAGAGAGAGGTCAGAACAGTCCCTTGTTAGATGGGCTACCCCTCAGCTTCATGATATTGATGCACTTGCTAGGATGGTTGATCCGGCATTAAATGGAATGTACCCAGCTAAATCACTCTCCCGTTTTGCAGACATAATTGCACTCTGCGTTCAGGTATATTCTTGATTTGTGATGCATGTTATGTTGTTGATCTGTAACGGCCAAGCTCCCATGGTGGCCTTAAAAAATTTTAAAAACCATTCGTGGAGAAACTGTCTTGCAGAATAGTGCCAAATTTGTTAATATTTCTGAGTCTACTACTTAGATGGGTGCTTTACCACATAAAATCATTCACTGGAAAGTTTTTATTGGTTCCTTTGGGCTCCTATTTTTCCTTAAGGAGACATATACTAAGAATGTTTATATCTTTTGTTTCTGCAGCCTGAGCCAGAGTTTCGTCCACCCATGTCAGAGGTTGTCCAGCAACTTGTGCGCTTGATGCAGAGGGCTAGCATAGTAAGGCGGCTATCAGGAGAAGAGCTAGGGTTTTCATACAGAGCCCCAGAACGAGAAGGAGACCTGAGGGACCTTTCATTCTAAGCAAGTGCTTCCATGATACAAGCGCAAGGCAGCTCGGAGGCTAAATTTGCAAGGAAAATATATGGAACACTCATATAGCCATATGAATTGGAGAACTCGAGAAGATCATAGCAATTCAGGATCGAATGAGTTTGAGAAGATAATTTTGGTACCTATTGTCAGTATACTTGCTGCTGTATCTAAACTGAGGCTCGAATCGAAGGTGGTGTATAGCTGATTATTGGTAGAGAAGAAGGAAAAGAAATGTAACATGATCGATGCTCTGTTAAGTTTTAATGACAGAAATCTCCTAGACCTCACCACAGTCATTTACATATACTGGAATGATTTCTTTGGTTTCATGTTTAACCTCTCTTTAGTTAAGTCCGGTTCCTACCTCATGTTATTCAGCTATGTTCCTGAAACATGAAGAACGGGGTATCATAATACACAAATGCCAGTTTCATGTGAGATTTGTCGGAAATTTGGTCCTTTGTATGAAGACCATGATATCTGATACGTGGATCGTCACAACATCCCCTCAATGTGCAATTGCAACTATACAGCTCTCAAGTACGACTGTCTGTAATCACCATACTAAAGTAGCGTTGCAGCAGCAATTCCTATATCTGACAGGGGGTCCTAAACTGCTGTTGCTAACTGTGTTTTGTGAATACATGTTTGCAAATCGTAAATACACTGAACATCATCGATGCCAAAATCAGAGATCCAATGGAGATCAGATCTTCAGGTGAGAAATATAGGTATACATACCCTCCTCACCCATCTCTGTCCTGTATCAAGTTGCCAATCATCTTGCCAAGAGGCACGGTGCCCTTGGCCATGATCTCCAGTCTCGACGTGTTGGAGGCGTTCCCGAACAGTGTGAGGCCGAACATCAAGAGCTCCGGCAGGAACAGTCTGGATGACAGGAAACCGTGCCAATAGTGCGGCTCCAGGTCGAAGAAGGCGTCAAAGAACCGGCGCGTTCCCTCGAGGTCCAGCTTGAGCAGGACGTCCATGCCGAAGCAGAAGAACTCCCTCTGCCGCCGCCTGTTGGCGGGCCACAGCTGCTTCCACACCTCTGCGGAGAGCGCGTCCCCTGCCAGGCCGCCCATGCCGCTGCCGGTGTCGAGGAACCTCACGATGGCGTCCGCCACGATGGGCGCGGTGGCAAGCGTGCGCGCCACCATGTACCCAGTGGACGGGTGCACCATCCCGGCCGTGCCGCCGATGCCGACCACCCTCTGCGGCAGGACGGGCAGCGGCCCTCCCATGGGGATGACGCAGCGCTCGTCCTCCTCGACGCTCCGGACGCGTATCCCCAGGTGCCTGAGGCGCGCGGCCATGCGCTCCTGGATGTCGTCCATGGCGAGCCCCGGGCGCGCGACCAGGGACGTCTCCTCGAGGAAGATCCTGGTGGGGGAGAAAGGCATGGCGTAGAGGAAGGTGGGGATGCGGCGGTTGCGCTCCCTGATCTCCGACCCTTCGGGGAGGTGGGAGTCGCGCCAGTCCATGAAGAGCATCTTGTCGATGTCGAACGGGTGGGCGTCCACCTCGGCGAGGATGCCATAGGCGACCTGGTACCCCGGGTTGTACGGCTTGTCGTACTGCACGAGGCAGCGCGAGAAGCCCGTGGCGTCGAGCACGACGCTGGCCGGGACGGCGACGCCGTCGTCGCAGATGAGGAGGGAGGAGGCGTCGTAGTGGACGGCCTTGGCGACCTTGGCCTGGTGGAAGACGACGCCGTTGGCGACGCAGCGGTCCATCATGGCGGACTTGAGCTTGCGGCGCGCGACGCGGGCGTAGCGGCGGTCGAGCGACTTGGCGCGGCCGTCGCCGATGAAGACGGAGGCGGAGGGCCAGACGGTGTCGAGGCAGTGGGAGAGGCCCATGGCCTCGAACTCGTCCACCCACACGCCGTAGTTGTTGGGCCACACCACCGCGGGGGACGGGTCGATGGCGCACACCGACAGGCCCGCCTCCGCCACGCGCTGCGCCACGGCGAGGCCCGCGGGCCCGCCGCCCACCACGGCGAGGTCCACGGGGCGGGCGCGCGCCGGGTCGTAGCGGGGCAGGTCGAGGGACAGCAGCTCAGGCCGCGTGGGCGGGGCCAGGGACCGCAGCGCCGCGGCTGACGCCGGCCCCGCCGTCCCCGCCGCGGCGCGGCAGATTACGGACGCGCGCGGCGCGGGCGGCGGCGACGGCAGCTTGCAGGGGTGGTGGTGGGTGCGGAGGAGGATGGCGGTGGCGGCCATGGTGGGGGAGGTGGGGGGAATTCGAGCGCGGTGGAGCCGTGCAATCCTGAGCCTGAGGCGGTGGTGATAAGCTGCAGCTGCAGCTGATTTCAGTGGGGGCACCACTGTCGATCCAATTCCAATGGCATTCTTCACCCAAGCACCTCAAATATTTTGTGAATGTTGTTTTTTCCCCTTAAATCTGGTATATGTCCTATATGGATCACCAATGGTAGATGCACGTGGGGCATAAGTCTTCAAGGGTAGTCTAGCCCGTTGAAACTGAAACAACGTGCTTGAATTTTTGAGCATGTGACAAGTGACTTTTAGAGTGAGGTATGTATATCTGAATTTTGAAGGCACTTACATATGCTGAGTGGATGCCATGTTTTTCTAATTTGCGTGGGTCATATTGCCACTAGCCAGGGACCAGAATGATTTATATAGGGTAGGGCACGGAATGTACTGTTCGGTTGATGGTTTCTGCGGCTGATAAGGCGGCTCGATGCTGTTTTGTTGTGAGAGAAAAACATCGTACCATGGCTGATAAGTTCAAGAGAACAGGGTAGTCTCTAGGGTTTTAATTTTCTGATTTTGAAAAAACACTTCACACGAGATCGATTGTAAACATTTTCCTCGGCTGGACATTGACATAATGACATGGAAGCATTTGGATTAGACTTAGCACTAAAGAACAAAGAATCAAATATGGCACTCCCATAGACAGGAAAGGCTTCAACTTGAAGGGAGAAGAAAATGAATTTGCTACAATCTTAGTAGAAGGCCCTGAAATTGAGTTGTGTGAAGAACTTCCTCTATCAGCTCCCTCCCCGTCGTCTCCTTTTCACTTCCCGAACATCATGATTCTTCAATCCTTCTATATTGCCTCTGAACCTGTAGTGGAGTGCCTTGCTACTTCAATATGAAAAGGAAGATGAGATCACAAAAACCCAAAGGGTGTTGATTTTTGGCTTTCCATTACTTTTAGGCCTCGTTTGGTACAACCCTGCTTTACTTATGGAGTAATTTTCTTTATCTTCAGTTCCATGAACAGCTCCACTGGTGGAGTTAAAGCTATATTGAAAAAAAAACATTTGGAAAAACTACTTCTCAATTAGATGTAAGAGATGGATATGAAAGAAGCTAGTATTTTCATTCCATCCAATTCCTACTCCATGCATGTGAGAGCAGGTTTCAAGAAGCTTTAATTAAGGAGTTGTTCTATCTAACCCGGTTTGACGAGAAACACTTTTGAAGTTGCTGAAGAAGCTAAGCCAAACAAGATCTTAGCACTGTGTTCGATCAATCTCGTAGAATGGCTTGGTGCCCCGTAAAACTTAATCAAGGACCATTATTCGTAAATGCTAGCTAACTCTAAGAACTACGAAATTATACTCCCTCCATTTCAAATTGTACGAGATCCAAATATTGCATGGATCGATCGAACACAATTTTTAAGTTGCTCTTCATAAAATCTGCTCAAGAACCGTTGATCGAACAAAATTATAATCCCTCCATTTCCATTTCGAATTCTATGAGCTAAGTCGTTCTGGCTAGATACATAATTTTTGTTTTACATACGTAGAAAAGTCAAAATTATTTAATTCGGAATGGAGGGGTGTATTATTCAAAATGTCTAGGGACGTTCTCATTTGTACTCACGAAAATGGATCACACCGTTACATGATACAAGGAAAGATGAAGGGCAAGTCTGCGAAAAGGCTGTTTGCCGATTCTACCGATAGATCCTGCGCCGGCCTTCGCAGGTAAGAGACAAGAATAGGTGGAGCGAAGACATGGGTTCCACAACCACCACGAGCACAACATCGGAAGCTCAACCCCTCTACCCCCCTACTTGTCACCTTCCAAACCGTCCAAATTGGTAGCAAACTAGCAATACCGTATTTGCCATGCCCCCATGTTTATTCATGCCTGAGTGCCTGACAAGGAGATGTGCCCTGTGTCTGGGACTATGCGAGAGCTAAACTGGCCAGCAGTCCATGTCATGAACATGAAGGCCAGCAGTAGCATCAACATAGACGGCAGCAAAGAATGTTCGCATCATTCACAAATAGTATGTACAAATTGCATGTGAATTTGACATAATTAGCAGCAACGACGATGAGAGAAAAGAACAAGAGAGCATGCATGGTAATAAGGCGCACGTTGAACATTATTTGAAATGACGACGATCATGTTCATCATCAATATAATTCATCACCCGCACTTGTCAGTACATACATACAGAAGACGATGGAAGACGAAGAGAACATCCATCAGCAATGGTCCCTCTGACGAGAGCTCACACTGACGACTACATGTTCAGACAAAATGGCCCCCAACATATGCACAGCGATCTTGCGTACCTATTATACTATATATCGTTGCTAAAGAACTAAACCTAAGAAAAAAAAAGTAGAGTAGCATACAGCTTGCACAGTAATATATATGCCACTACTACTAAAGATCCAAACCTAGAATAAGCTATAAAAAAAAACTAATGAACTGGTGCTACTATTCAGTAATATTCAGATACAGACAGGAGAACTCCTTTCCTTTTCTTTTCTGTGACGAAGACAGGAGTAATTAGGTGCTAAACAGGAAGGCGCATGTCTTAGGCTGATGCTAGCTACCTGCAAGTTCTAGTTGTGCGTGGGCGGGTGCCTGTGGACGGAGTGGTAGTCGGCGGTGAAGGGTATCCGGCCACCGAAGTTAAACTTCGGCGAAGCAGGCATCTTCTGGCTGGTTCTTCTGAAACGGCGGGTGTTCTTCATCGCCACCTCCTTCCTCCTCCTGACGATGACCTCCGCCCCTCCCTCTGCCGTCGCAGTTCTTGAGCTGCTCACGTCTTGTCGCCCTTCGTCGCCGATGGCCGCCATTAGCGGCAGCTCTGCAAATGGAAGAGGTGCATCAAGCACCAGCCACATTGCGCAAACAAAACCTGTCTGAACTCTGAAGTGCGTGTGTTTTACCTCTGCGCGCGGTGGCGACGACGACGACGGGGCTGAGCGCCGCCAGCAGGAGGCTCAGCAGGAGCAGCAGGCCGACGCACTTCAACTGCCGCCGCATAACTAATCTACTGTTACCTGCCTGCTGCCAACCGGCCTCTGAAAGAAGCGTGCGTGAGTATGACCGACTGACTGACTGAAACTGAACACTGAAGTCTGAAGGGAAAGGAAAGGCAGGAACAAACTGGAAAGGCTGGCACGCAGAGATGTTTTAAAGGGGCCGGACACGTACACACACACCATTGGTCAAAGCTTTGGACGCCATGCCATGCAAGCATGGTGTGCTGTCTGTCGTCCCTGTACTTTTAAACCCTCTGCGACCTGAACCTGATTAACCGAGCTGGTCATTGGCCTGATGGCCAGTTTGTCCCCTGTCCCTTGTCACTTGTCAAGCTGCTTGCTTCTCCCGATGGTGTTTTGTACGTCGTCTTAGCTTGTGAGCTGCTGTAATTGGATCGAGGCCTCGACCGCCATTGCTTCATTGCGTGGGGTTGAAGATCGATCTTGATGCCGCGCATGGTACGGTCGTCTGGATTCAAGACGACGACGCCGTGCGCCCGTGCCATGCCATGGTATTGCGTGCGTGGATTCGGATAGACGACGACGCCGTGTCTCGCCCGTGACACGCCATGGTATTGCTACCGAGAGTGACACGGGCGCATTCAGTCCATTTAAAGTTTGTTGGATTACCCATAACCCTATTTAATAAAGGAAAACAGGAAAAATATCCCTAATTAATCGTCTTCAGACCTAAAGGCGTGGCTTTCTTCGCGCCAAGATGGAGGAGTATTTATGTAAGTTTCTTTTAAATGGCGGCGAACTTTTGTTTGGATTTTATGATTCCGAAAGCTGCGACGACGTGAGTGACACGGGCCATGGCTTTGGTGGCCTCGTCTTCGACCTGACTTCGCGCCAATCATGGCGGCATGATTCCACTGCGGGACGTGCATGGCAGGGCTTCGACACCGACACCGGGGACGCGCTGCATGTTATCCTGCTGGTTACGAGGAGAGGGTGTCCGTCCTCGAGCGGGTCTGGTCCGAAACTGAACGGCTACTACACTACTAGGAGTACAACGAACCGCGCGCGCCAGAGTTTTTTTTTCTTCTTTTATTTAAAATTCCGGCCCATCAGACAGTCAACTCGGTCTTTTTGGGAGATCCCTGTCTCATGCATCTTTGCTTGGTGCTGGCATGTCAGCGTCAAGGGGGCTGTATATCCTCCACGGCGAAAGGGCATGATCTCGCTGTCAACTCGGAGCCTAAGATGATTTTGATGTCAATTACCATGGATCATATTATGTCCTAAGATGCAATATGAGAAATAGAGAAACTATCTCGATATTACATATATGTATTTTTATTACGCACTATAGACACTACGCACATGCACATACACCCAGCCTATATTTCTATAAGCAACTATGGATCATATTATGGCTACAAGCATTTGTGTAATCTTTCTTATTTTCTTTTTAACCTTTTTTGTTTCATGAGATGTACAGTCAGGCTTGTACTTTCGTTTTCAAGTTTAGTAAAAGACCAGTAGGGGGTAAAACTCCTCTTGTTTCATCAAAAAAAATATTGGGCTGACAGATTTCAAGATTAACGAAGTCACCGTAAAAATCTCTAATATACTCCATCTACCCCTGTGATATAGTGTATACAATGATTTAGAAATTGTACCCAATATAAGGGGTTTTAAGAGACATAAAACCAATGTTCACTTAAATGTTAAACGGTAAACAGTCGAACACCTATTGTTTAGCGTTTATTCAGATATAAAACCAGTTAAACGGGCTACACGGTCAACTAAACAGGGATAGACAGCCAATTCAACAGACACGACCAATACATCACAGATTTTTTATAAAAGTAAGATGCATAGAACTCTATCCTGAAGATGTTTAGATCTAACAAAAGGACGAAAGGTGTGTAGTTCTTCATAGTTCTGAGTTCTGACTATGACTTGGAGTAGGAATGAAATTGGCTCTCACTCTTTTGTCATATGTTCTTGCTTTAATATTCAAACTTTTTTTTGAGAGAAACAAGAAATATTTATCCACGTGCAAACCTATGTGCACTCATCACGGGGACCAAACAAAGAAGTAGGTTTTTTTTCTCTTTACCTACAATCATGTCAATGCAAACAAGGAAGGAAGGGATAAAAAAATTTGTTGGTGTGAGGGGATGATGGGATCCTAGAAATTTCTTTATTTAGAGTACATATATAATCGTTCCATCTTAAAGGCTCTGATTTCTTTAAGATCTTATCTCTTAGTAGAGTGTAACTGAAGTACCGTAGCAAGGCCCACGCTCTATAGGACAATAAGCTACCGTTGAGCCTATTTGGATCCAATAGCAATAACAGTTACTACCTTTGTCTTTAAAAGAATGCAACTATGGGTTGCGTGCCACTTTGAGTGCTTCACATTTGACTAAGTTTCTAACAAATAATATTCACATTTATGGCTCCAAATTAATTTATTATGAAAATATATTTCGTAATTAATCTAAGATATTTATTTTATATTATAAGTATTTATACTTTTTTATCTATAATTGGTCAAAGGTGATATACTAAAACATGATACTGTTCCAGAATTGCATTCTTTTAGGGACGGGGGGAGTAATTGCTAATGAAGTTTTATGTGCATCCAAACAAATGCAGATAACCATTTGGTAAACATCTCATTAGCTGACCAAGCACAGCTAATAGCAACTAATAGATTGTCAAAATGAAATACCCTTTTGGCCTTCCACTACTCCCATCTCCCTTTCCAACACACTGTCTCACTAGACAATAAAGGCATGCACATTCTAGACAAATTAAACATTTCAACCATTTGTTGCCCGATGGCTCCAAATAGTAGTAATTAAGCTACTAGTCTATTAACCAGCCAATAGCATCTCCAATAGTTCCAAAAAAAACAATTAGCAAACCAATGAATTTTTCAAGTGACTAAAAAAAGTTAGGAGCACATTTGTTGGGCTCCTCCAATAGTTTTAAAAAATGTCGGTCCTAGAATATAGAAGATAATTTTTCATCAAAAATCCCGGACTATTTCTGAATCATCCTAACCACTTTTATATTTAGTTTCTCTCTTGTACATTTGCATCAGGAACCCTGTCCTACTCCTTATTCTTTCTCACATCCTTCCACCTTCGTATTGGCCGATGGATATGCGCGCGTATATATTCGCGTGATTAGGTCGATTTTTCCAAGTGCGGAAAGATTATGAGTTGAGATACTAAGTTGTTGGAGAGCATCTTTTTTCGATCTTGCTAAAAAAAATCAAGATTGGGAGTGAGTTTTGAAAACTCTTGGAGATGCTCTAACTACTTCTAGCTCCTAACGAATCCCAATAGGCCAATAGGACGCCTACTTTTTATTTTTATTAGAAAATTTCATGTCTAAATTTCTGTTTTTGAAACTTGTAAACTTATGTTGAATGTAACTATTTGTGTACAAATCTATCATGACAACTCCTCAGCATGACTTGCTCATCACAACTTTTATGAGAGAAAACGTTGTGATGCAACTTTTGATAATTTTTATGGTTAACTTGTGCACATAATTTCAGTTGTTCAACTTGTTTGAGGCCCTTTTTGTCTTTTTAAATTTTTATTACAGACTAAACTTCAAACATAAAATCTTGTAACAACTCGTTTCACTATATTTTTTAACAAACAGTTTCATAATGCCTCCATCAAGTAATTTTTCTAGATAAAATTTATTGACACACAATTTATACTCCCAAAACATTTATGGACGCCTTTTTAGAATAAGTTGTGCAACTAACTTATTTGAAAATATCGTAGAAAAGATAGGATGAGTTTTTTTTTGATACAAGATAGGATGAGTTTGAAAAGGATATACCCCATAGTTTTTTTTTGATACAAAGATAGGATTTTTGAGTTTGCCCAAGTTTGAAAAGGATACAAAAAGTTACCCGGCTCACGAGTCACGACTCGACCGACACAGCAACAGCAACGAGCAACGGCAAGGGGGAGAAGGCAGCGGGCCGGCAACGCTGCTGGCCGGCCACTGCACACTGCTCCCACGTCCTAGTCTCAGGATAGGAGCGGGACCGCCGCAACGCAGCCACGCCGCGTCCTCGACCTCGCACGGATGAGAGGCCGGCGCGCAGGCCACCCGGACCCGGGCGTGTGAAGGCGCGACCCGCCAGGAACAGGAACAGGACAGGAGTGCGTGCGTGCGCGTGTTCGTCGTCCTCCGTTCAACGTGCGGTGCTCGGGGGACACGAGGGCGTGCGCGGCGATCCAAAAGTCCGCCCGGTGTCCCAACACGGCGTCGTCGTCGGTCGCCGCGCTCCAGGCCTGCGGCGGTGTCCAATGACTGTTCGTTTGGCTATAAGCCACAACTAAAAATACAATTGACTGATTTGAATACAATTGACTGATTTAATATAAGAGAAAAATACTAAAAATACGGCTTATAAAGCAACCGTCCCAGCAGGGCCGCCCGCCCACCATAAAACGTCGTGAAAACACAAACACAGGCCTGCAAAATACCATCAACCTCCACCACTCCGCAGAGATCCCTCTCGCCTACGTGCCGCCATTGCAGTTAGCAAGCATTTGAACTGAAAGAAACCCTCAGGCATCGCCAATCAATTTGCAGGAGAGGAGAGGAGCCGTCTCTTTATCAACAAAATTATTATTATTTCATCTCATGTTAAAAAGAACAACCCAACCCAACGGAAACGATACAGAGCCAGCCAGCCCCCATTGTATTGTATGAGGAAGGAAGAAAAAAGAAAACAAAAACACTCCTACTACAGCCAAACCAATCACCCAATTGAATAAGTTACACAAAGGGAAGAAGAATACATACAGACGGCTCCCAACACTAACCTTTCCTGTTACTATCCATATCCTTTCCTTCTCTTCAGCTCCCAGAGGTTGCTGTCACTTTGAAGCAGTCGATATTGCACAGCCTCACCGACTTCATCATGCCTCCAAACCTGTTTTTTTTGTTACACACACACACACACACACACACACACACCATTTCATCAACAAAACCTTAACATGTGAT